CTGTTCGTAGAACATGAGAATTCTTCTTCTTCTTCCGATTAGTCACCAACGATGAGTCTATTAGCTTCGGTGATTACATACGGTGGTACTTCGAGATTGTTAGGCGCAGGTCCGAAGCGTATACGCCCAGACGTATCAAATGTTGATCCATGACAGGGGCAGTAATAGCCTCCAAATTCACCTTTGCCAGCTGTAAATTAAATTCACAAAAATTCCATCAATGAACGAAAATATTCATTTTTGCGGTAATTACATGAACTATCAACATGTTGTCGGAGACGGAGCCCATTTTCTGAAACTTATCATGGACCGAGAGGGAATCGAACCATTTCTCTTCACATCCAGACGCAAACCGTGCAAGTGAGGAGGAGTTGACTTTCACTTCAATAGAAGAACAAAGTACTGAACTAGGTACTGAACTATGTCCAAATGTTCGATAGCTGCGCCTTTTTTCAAATGATTTGAAGAAAAAGTGGTACCAAGCGGGACACATCCAAGATGCGGGCAAACACCAATTGTTATAAGCCATTCCTCCTTTTTCACGCGCTGCTCGTCTGTTTCCGGATCACGCAGATCGCTCAACTTCACATCTTTCGCTTTTTCGATATCTTCTTGCGTGCGATGCGCCACAAACAATGGCTTGCCACGCCATGTGTACGTCTTGCACTAAAATTGCAATTTTTTGCTATCCATTTGTTCGGCACATAAATCAACTTCTGTGGGTTACCACGAATGTCCGGATAACTGGTGGGAGGAGGGATCCTATGTTCGTACTTACACGCAGAATTTAGCTATGCGAAGAACAATGTGTTTCCGTATGCTGCATACCTCCAGTTAATACCCACCGTAGATTTATTGTATCTAACGCTAACTCTTCAGACCACAGGTGGATCCATGAGTGTTGGAGGGGGAAGGGCGCGATGGGTCTTTCGCCTCCTCCCCCCCTTTCCCCCAGCGGCATAGGCATTAATGCCACAAAAGTCAGGGTCTAAAGCTAAAACTGAAGGAAACTCTCTTCCGCAGCCCCGCGCCCTCTCTTCCTCAACAAGCCTCACTCCCCTTTCGGTTTTCGCCACACCCATACAACTACTC